GGCTCCGTCTCAAAAAAAAAAAAAAAAAAAGAATATGTGATAATTCATGACCTTGGTTGAGGTTCCAGTTCTCCTTGGTACTTTTCTCTGTGCTTTAGGACCCCATGGAAGAAATGTTGTTTCTCTGGGGATGGGGAATACATAGTGGCTGGTTCTGCCCGGCAGCATGCCTTGTACATCTGGGAGAAGAGCATTGGCAACTTGGTGAAGATTCTCCATGGGACGAGAGGAGAACTTCTCTTGGATGTAGCTGTGAGTAGAGTGGGATGTTGCTATTGTTATATAAGCCAGAACATCAGTGGTTTTTTGTTTGTTTTTGGTTTTTTTTTTTTTTTTTAGATAGAGTAGCACTCTGTCTGTCACCCTGGATAGAGTGCTGTGGAATCAGCCTGCTAGCTCACAACAACCTCTGACTCCTAAGTTTGAGAGATCCTCTGGCCTCAGTCTTACCACACATAGCTGGGACGACTGGTGTTGGCCACAATGCCCAGCTTATTTTTCTGTTTTTAGTAAAGTCTGGGTCTTGCTCTTGCTCAGGCTGGCCTTGAACTCCTGAGCTGAGGCTGTTCCCTAACCTTAGCCTCCCAAAGTGCTAGGATTATAGGAGTGAGCCAATGTGCCTGCTCAAGCCAGAATATCCTGAATCGATTTTACAATGTTTTTTTTTTGTTGTTTTCTTTAAAATTTAGTGGCATCCTGTTCGACCCATCATAGCATCCATTTCTAGTGGAGTGGTATCTATCTGGGCACAAAATCAAGTGGTAAGTATATTTCCGATTTCTTACTTTGAACCTGGATACCCTTATTATCAAAGAACCATATACATAATAAGCTAATAATTATGCTTTTTTATTGAATATGGTTCTTGAAGCCTAATTAAATAGGTTCAGTGAATCAAGTTTTACTTCATTTTTATTGAAAGGTCTTGATCCAAAGCTAGTTGCCTAGATTTGTTTTCATGGAGAAAGTCTTTTTATTTTTGAGATGGAGTCTCACTCACTCCATCACCCTAGGTAGAGTGCCATGGTGTCATAGCTTATAGCAACTTCAAACTCTTGGGCTCAAGTGATCCTCTTGCCTCAGCCTCCTGAGTAGCTAGAACTACAGGTGCCTGCCACAATGCCTAGCTAGTTTTTCTGTTTTTAGTAGAGGTGGCATCTCACTCTTGCTCAGGCTGGTCTTGAACTCCTGAGCTGAGGCAGTTCACCCACCTTGGCCTCCCAGAGTGCTAGGATTATAGGCATGAGCTACCACATCTGGCTAGGGAGAATGTCTTTAACACTAGACTTTCTTTTTTTTTTTTTT